ATTAAAAAAGAAAAAATTCGTTGTTCGGTCATGGTTACAGTCTACACCGGATCAGTCGTCATGCTATAGGATCAATATCAATATCCGAAATTAACCTTTTTAAAGGGATAATAAGCCAATAAAAGGTGTGTTTCGGCTTGATCACCAACCTAAAGCACTAGGTGATGAAATCAACAAATAAAAGGAGTCAAGAAACAACATGGTAGATTTATACCTACGTTTAATTGGTCTACACGTCTAACCTTTGTCCGGTGGCGTAAAGCTTCAAGCAAACTAAAACTACCCAGGTGAGAAAGTATCACTGAACGTTAAGTTACAGATATGCTCGCACACAAACCTGCAGTTAGTGGGTGAATTTGATCAGATCTCAGGGTGAAACTGAATAAACAACCAAATAATTATAGTTAACTATTTATAAACCACTGAAAGTAGGTTGAACTTCTCTGTAATAATACATGAACAGACAGAATATTGACAACAACTGCCACTACTTAAAACAATATTAGTTTTAGGAATAAAAACTCACTGAATGAGAAATAAACAATGAAAAGTTGGTCCTACGATGTTTATTGATCAAAATGATGTTTCACTCAAACTGTCATCCATTTAAGTATTTCTAAGAACAGGAAAATAATACGAATCCATGGGCTGTTTTGATTACGATCACAAAGAACAGAATAAACGCTTGAATAGATGTTTCGGATAAATACTGTTTAGCCAGACTACTGAATAAATATGAAGTCCACCTGGTGGGAGAAAATACATCCTGAGCTTAACCAATATTGATACTTAAGCGAACAATAGGAATGAGGAGTAGTTGTAACATTTGCACACAGACAACTAATTTGAAGTCTAACTGCTAGTTATCAATAGTGAATAATTTAAGAAATTACTATGCAGGAAATTAAATAAAATAAGCAGTGAAACGTATTCAAAATTTTAATTTCAAGTACAGAAACATTGTAATTGTTACAGAAAGAATCGTGAGCACACAAACAGTATATAATGAGGGTGGATGTAACACACAACTGCTGAGAAATTATGTGGACAGTAACTGATGACATCCTGTAAATTATACTTTCACTTATTAGCAGATAAGCGGTAGATAACATCTCCAGTGATCACTGCAACCCTGATTTAGTTATCTAGCTTTTATATCAAAATGACTCAACAAGGATATACTGGTTGGAAAATTTGTTTCTCGAAGTCCTGTCATTTCAGGGAGGTCCGTTGGGTTGTTATAAGCCAAAATAGTTACAGTTATAAGGCAGATCACTACAATATGATGGGTTTTCGAGAGTAAAGTCATACTGCTGATCATGAAGGAATGTGATAGCGTAGATGAGCAGCAGCACCATGGTGATGCCAACTTCCCAATCGAAACGGAATGAGAGTAGATAAGGTAGCCCCTCAAAATGACACGCTTCTTTTTTCCCTTCAGCATTCTATTACCGTTCTACTTAGCGATGTTTAGACAAACAAGCAGTATTATTATCCCTCTTACAAAAGGTGTGATTAATATTGCCTACTGCAAGAGCGTGTACATAGTTACCGAGATCATTTCAACAATTTTTTCAGTCGCAGTAGTGTTGGTTTTCTAACTTGATGGAAACCAATCAAAGCCACACCTCAAATGTCCCAAAAGGCTGTGTGCGAGCCCTAAAGCCGATGTTTCTTGGGCTCTACCATCATGAAATGTTATTAATGATCCGATTTATATTTCATGGACCTCAAGAGGGAGTAATTTTGTAGTGTTAGAAGTTGGGAGGTGCCAACTGCCAGAGTGAGAATAGCATAAAAAGAGTAGGTAATGAAATTTTCTTGACTATCTAAATAAATCGGTATTTACCTATTGATTCTCCGTGTATGGTGCAAACATTATTCTTGACTTATGAGAATGTTTTCATTCTAGCAGTGATTTGAAAATATTCTTAAAATGATATTTCTAGTAGGATGTAATTTACCGAATTTCAGTCACTTACACCCTACTCCACAAAAAATTAGTTAGCTTACTGGATCAATATTGCACTCCTTACTTAGAAAAGTTGGTCACTAGAGACTCACCACTTTACTTGTCAAATCTCACCAAATCATTTCTGGCCGAAGTTAGACAATTGAATTTGCAATGTGGCTACTAAGCAACGTCATGCGACAGTACACTGAGTTGCATTTCGGCGTTAGATGTTTGGAGTCAGAGACTTCGGTATACCGTGGCATGTAATCAAATCGTCCAGTTTCATGGTTACTGATAAGTCTTGCTGATGAATATCAACAGGTGCTAAAATATAGATTTGGAGATTCCTACTGATAGACTTTTAAGACCAAATTTATTCACTCTATAAGATAGGATTTAGATTGAATTCCAAATATATCAGTATGAATTTCTTTTACTGTGAACTAACGAACACCGTCGGCGGCAGACAATGTTAATTCATATCGTCTTTACCCATACCTTTGTTTTTCACCTTTGGAATTCTCATTCGAGGAGGTTTGAGGGAGGAAAACCTTAGTTAGCATAAGTATGCACACAAGCATGGATCGACTTTGTAGGTAAAGGTGGTGGAATCAGAAACATGCACAACGAATAAGTATAAAGGAAGGGTGGTCTAACGTAATACAGTATTGTTAAGACGAAAAAGTATCTTGGGTTTTTCGTAGATCATAATTATAGTATGATAAGAATAATTAAAATGAACACAACCAAGTCCAGTGTAGGCTTTAATGTACTAGGCTATGAGCCACACTTAGCATATAAGCGCTTATAATACTACGCAGTTGTGCATGACTCATCGCTTGAAATTCGAATTTTTATGTGACGCAGCCACGATTTCACTACACTATGAAAGCATTCTAAAGTGAATTAGTAAGATATCAAAAAAGTAACTCTAATCGTCACAAATTATTGTCATACGAAATACAAACAAACATAAACACAGAGCTTGGAATCTATCGGTTTACTTTGTCACACGACATCAGCGCACCGAGGAGAAGACAGAAATAGATAGTAAACAAGTGGTTGCAAAAAGACTGCCAGAAATAAATATGGCAAAAGCAATAAGCATTTATGATGACATCCAGATCTGGATAAAGGTGAATCAATACTTAATTACCACTTTGACCAATTCAGTGCAATATCGCAGACAATCCGAAACCCCCAAATTTGTTTGTCAAATGGAGCCCAACAACACAGTTGGTGATTTTCTCTAGGATACCGATCAATATTCACAGATTTCATGAAGTAGTGCCATATTTAAGCCTAGTCATCTTTGAACTTTTTCGAAAAGTGTTTCAAAGGCTACAAGTTTCTGATAAATGTATACGGGAGATACTAAGCCAATGTTTATGAATCCTTTGGTTTTGCAGACAAACAATTTACAAAACTGAACGAGCCCAGCAAACTGAAACCCTATGGCACTAAAATGATGGAACAGAAATTATTTTCAGAGAAACGAAATTGTTCGTTTACGCAATACAGTTGCATAAACTGGACTCCTATTATACCATCTATTCAACCTCATATAGGAAGTCACACAGTGAACGTTTTAAAAGTACAAGTCAGGGAACCATACTTAAACTCTACGATGTTTTTCTTGAACTGTAAAATAAGACCAATATGCAATGTAGCAATGTTGAAATCATTGATTACCGAATTATAGAAACTACTATAGTTTGCATTATTTATCCACTGCATTCATAAAATATACGTATATACAGCCGACTAGAAATACTGAATACAGTGTGCAGTATGATGAAGTTTTTCGACTTTCTGTCTCTGGAATCCCACTTGGTCAACAGATTATATTTTAGAAGTTTGTTAAGAAGTACAGTTCGTGAGAGTCCGGAAAGAGGTAGTGAACAGAAATGGAGAGATGTCAGAAGATAAAGCCCATGGAAGTAGTCATGTTAAAGTTAACGATAGCCAGTGAGCCCATGCATCTTACCATGGTCGGTTTTCGAATATGTCATGGTCAGTGCTGAATGGCTAATTCACAGCAATTTAAGAACCTCATTTGCAAAGCTTACATGTTCTGGCAGCTGGAACAAACAGATAAAGATTTTGTGAGTTTCTACAAAGTCTTAGTTTAACTAACTCCACCAAAACTAGTCTACATCTACACTGACATAAATGGTTACTTTCAGTACACGAGATGTTTAAGGAGCTACAAGTTTTCTGTCCAAAAGAGTATTGTCAGATATTTGCTTTTATTTCACACATTCTTGTCAGTGCAGTGTAGGAAGTTGTTTAAGTTCAAGCGTTGCATGCGCTCAACAACAACAACGCAACAGATCCAATAGTGATTTGTAAAGAAAGCTGAGATGAAGTCAATAAATAAAGGTAAACAGTGGGTGTTGAGGCGTAAATACACTTAAATTGAGAAAACATTGTCCGTAGTGCAGTTGCACAACTGTCAATTCCAAATATTTAGCTGTCTACAGTAGTCCTTCCAGTGTAAATTTTAAGGCAGTTCATGGAATACATTTCATGCTTTAAAGGCGTACTTGGAATCAATTGTCATAAAAATATTAGCACATTTAAGATATTCAACGCAATCCAGCCCACCTTAAAAGTTTACGCTTCAAGGAGATAGATACTTTATCTTTCAGTTACAGTGAAAAAGGAGACGAACTGAATTTAAGCAGCTTGGTTTACTTCAAATTCACAGAAAATAAAGCACTATAACATAATATTCGTAAATATATCAGCTCTAAAGTACTTAGGTCAAGTTAATAGTGGTTCCCATTGGTAGTTCAAATACTGATGAAATACTTTTACACATCAAGATCAAACTGAAATTCCTCGACTTCCCGATCATACGGAGTGTATATTTAGATGTAGATCACCGAATACTGAAGAAAAATACTTTACCTTTCTTCATATGCAACATATCAAAAGTAGCATCTATAAAATTCCTCATAGAATGTGTAGGATGAACGATATCATTAAACGGAATGCAAATATAATTCAAATTTTTATGGATAGTGTAGCTAGATGAACTTACTTTACAACCCTCACAGGAAATCACCCCATAATGATAGCCACTAGCCTTGTCACCACAGACCTTGCACGGAGTAAAAGTTGCTTTTATGGATCCAACGGTAGAATTACTATCGGCTGCAGATACTTCGGAACCTCTCTCTACAGTTCTTGATGGTCTGCAACTGACAAGCGATCCAGGGCCAGAAGTTACCGTTCCACAAGGCGTAATAGGATGATCACAGTTTCCAGGTATACCACTGGGCGAGTCTTGGGGTGAAAGTTTACCCAAAGAATCGGCACAGGCAACATCACCCATATTGTTATGGCTGTTATGAGGGCCCAACTGACGGGGCGACGTAGTAATATGAAGAGGACGTAGATCAGACGTATGGAAAGGATCTGAATATGAAAAGTGGCTTTGATCACGATGCTGAGAAAAGTTATTCTCTAGGGAACAAACAGAACCATTGTGCTGATCTCTGTTGACAGGGATAGAATTTTGTAACATTTCCTGAGAAAATAGTTGAGGTGGCAAACTAAAGTTGTTGCTCGGACCTGAACAAAGTGTAGATGGAACTTGACGTTGATAGAATGAATTTGAAACATGTGGAGATGCGTAATGCGTAGCATAGGCGGACGGTGGACTAGGCAAAAAGCCCTGAGGAAAAGAATGTCTGGAAGGTAATGGGTATGGATGATTAGCTGACATAGGTAGATTGCCACAGTTAGAAAATCCTGGGTATGTTTTATTATGAAGGTTTAAATATGATTGTTCAACTGAGGGAGAGCCATTTAATTCCATGCAACCAGGAAACCCAGATAATGGAGGAGAAGGAATGATAGAAACTGAAGCACTCGCATTAGTTTTGAAAGAGAATGTGCTACTCACACCAGAATCGGAAAATGAAGCACTACCAGGATCTGTTGCATCTGTTTTCAAGTCAAAGTTTGATTCTGGACTTATTTCCATCACTAATAAAACAATGATAGAAACCAAGAATAAGTATAATGCTGCGACAAATAAAGTTCAAAAAGCATCATTTAGACCTAAAGTGTAAATTTAAGAGTCTTCATGAAGAGTAAAAACTAGGACAACATGACAGGAATGAAATCTTACAAAACTGGTCTACATGCCAGAAACACCAAGCCGGCCAAACTGATTAACCATCGCGGTGACTTAAGATCACTTAGGGTCATGTACAGATTTCTATTTGCGATGCGTTATAACAAAACCAAATTGTTGCCGATATTCACTGAGGAAGGTTCAAATAAATATTTCTACTAGCCACGAAAAATTACTTTTTCAATGTCACATTATCTTTAATGAATCCACTCTGGTCATTTTGATTTTTGTGATACCTGGGTACTGCCAATATCCGATATCTTTTGTAGGGTCCCACAGGCCAACTGATGTTTTCGTGCCGGCTTCCAAATCTTTCATAACAGCTCCAAGTCTATTTGAACTGCTATGCACTAAGTCCTGGAACCATCGTCTTTCCCCTTCTTTCCCCTTCACAAATGAAGTTTGGAACGCATCCGGAGGCGCCCGACAAATTCTGTTTCAGGACTTGGATCTAAAACGTACGAAGAACGACTTGTCGCGCTGGCTCTGTATACTCTAAAATGCAGAAGGCTAAGAGGAGACTTAACAAGAACCCACAACTTTCCGAACATTCCTGGCCACCCACTCCGTCAATTGTTAAATCTTGGGAGTAGCACTAATCCCTAAGGATACATACAAATTCTAGGCCTGGAACATATCACGTCAGATAAGAGTTATATCCTGGAACGCTCTTCCTGAAGATGTGATCCAGGCTACTTTGTCTGAATCCTTCAAATGCCGACTGGATACTTACCTGATATGTGGCTGGGATCTACCCAGAACTTATTGAATTTTCACATTTCAACCGCACAGAAAGCGATGATCCATGAATTGTGGATGCGGGAGTCAGTTAAGCGAAAACCTCTTCTATTCCGTCAACAACCATTTGGACCATTCAAACCATTAAATCCATCCACTCACCTTCCGTGGGTTCTGTTAGCTCGATGAGTGCTTTGGCATTGTATGAATTCGCGGGGAGGTGCGTGTTTTGTCCTGAGACTGCGATGTGAATGAGTTCTTCAAATGTCTTTTGACAAGAGAGTTTTTCAGACTAATTAAAGGGAAATTTAAGAGGTAAGTTGGGAGAAAAAAGAGGGGAAATGAGAAAATCAACAGTAAGGAAAGGAAAACTAAGTGAATTCTGGGAAGGCGGCATGACCTTGAGGAATAAAGTGGAATCATGGAGTCGGGGGAGATGAACCAGGGGTAGTCGTAGCAGCCATAGAGAAAACAGAAATATTGATGATGGTATTAACGGTATGGTAACTGGAGGGGGTAAGAAGTCTAACAGGAGTGCGTGAGATTTGATCAAGTTATGTAAACAGTGGGAATAGAAAAGACTCGGTGTGAAGCTAACCGCTTTGAAGCGATGCAAAATAAGCTGGTTGTTTTAGGCCTAAAATAGTGAGTGCACTTAGGTTTACGCACTCTCCGGTGAGCGAAGCTCTGCGGGTTTCCACGATGACTGTCCCGCGAAATCCTACTGTTCGGGCGACCCGGGTTACTTAGTATCTTGTAGGTCGTTATGAAAATGCTACGTAGGATGCTGTAATTGGAACAGTTGAGGCCTATGTCATTCATTCCATGCTCATTTTAATTTTTACTCATCTCCCTGTACTCAAAGTATCAGGTTGGAGGCCAAAAATCTAAATTTCTATGAGAGTCACTTTCTAACGGCAAGTGGACATTTTTATTTACATATTGCAATTGCACATCAAAAGCTCCGGTTTTCAGTGGCCGTATTCTTCCTCACCTTGAGTTTGAACGCGTCGAACCTTGGTTCGCCTTTCACTATCATTGGGATACTGAGACATCACCACCACCACACCAAATGTGACCAGTTTTTGAACTAAGGATTCAAAGAATACCATGTACTTCTTCATCGTACGTCTTCACTAAGACGATTGCCGGGCTGCAGGTGTGTAAAGTACAGGGCTGCTGTCAACCTAGTAGCAGGCAATGATATGTCTGCGACGGCTTTCACAGATCTGACTCAAGCCAAGTGTACAAAACCTAGAAGCCCCGGTTGTCAGTTATTTCACCTTCTTGCCTATAACCGAAATGGAGAACGTTCTTGTGGATGTTATCATTGTTTTAACGGAAATCAGACAGAAAATTACGACGTAAGAAAGCAAATGGAAAGCTGAGAAACACGAAACTGACACTTAGAACCAAGGAATCTGTGGCTCGGCAACTGGTATACGGGAAACGTACTCAAGTCATCCAACAAGAACAAGTTGTTAGTCTGACTGGAGACGTGGTGCTACTCGGTGCAACAACGTCCAATTTCTACCGTCGTGTGTGGAGATCTCATCTTCAGTCGATGAGACAGAAAATGTGGCAGTGATGCCATGTGGACCAGCCCAAGTCAGAGCATGGATATCCACTCTGCGCAGCAAGAAGCAGCTGGTTTCCAACTTCGGTCTACTCCATTGAGTCTGGAGATTTAGGAAGCCTCGCGAACAATCCCGAAAGTAGGAGCAAACGTTGAGAACGAGGAAGGCAGGGACTACCGGCGCATCAAAATCCAATAGATCACCTGGGCGACTCAGAAGCATGTCAAGCAAATGAGTGGGTTACCTGCATTTGAGGCCACATCTGGCAAAAGCTTTAGCCTAAAAGCACGCCGGAGCGTTGCTATTTAGAGGACTACACGGCTGCAATGAATGGTAAATGGGCGAAGAACGCTTCATTTTTAAACCACACTTGGGCTGACTACCGCCTTATACATCCAGATAGTCAGATAACAAGTCGGAAAATACGGAGGTCACGTTAAGTACATTCAAGGTAGAGGGCATAAGCTGCATTCATAAAAAGACAGTAACTTTGCCCAGCAAAGTCGATGAACTATGGAAAGTAAGCAAAAGACATAGATGTTCGTTTTATAAGTGAACCTTTAGCACAAGTTTCTCTTTAACGTTACAATCGGAAATTGGCAGCTGTCAACACCAAGATGGTTTGTGACGAAAGGAAAGCTAGTAAGCGGGGTGGGTAGCAATTTGCTTTACTTCTTCCGTCGCAGCTCACTGAATCCACATCCCTAAATTGGACTTGCCTGCGGGGTACCTGGTGTTTGCCTAAGCCATGCAAGGCTACCAGATGTCCGGTGGTGATCACCAAATGCTAAAGGCAATCAGTTGCTCTTTTAAACCACAGAATATACTCTTGTTCCAGTGGATCTTGACCTGCCTGTAGTTAGCTTTGTGGGCCGAATGATCAGCGGTGGTGGCAACTATATTGAAGTTTGATTCCCAAGCAGTGTTGAGAAAGTGAGTCCAACACAAAATGCAATGTCAACAGTGAAACGTAGCTACGCCAAAGCCCCAACCCATTTGACCACATCTTCGTAAGTTAAGGATTTTTGAGAGATAACCCGGTCTTGAGAGGGAGTGATCATGTCGTTATCAGCTTTTAATGTATCTGCAGAGCCAAATTTACCCTACCTTTCGGCAAGGGTCATCTAAAGCTTCAAGCGGTCTGATATCACAGTCTTACATAGGTTGCTGAAGCAGAGATTGGGGAGCCGAACCTGTATTGCAAGACATGAATATCCACTGCAGACTTGTGCCTAGGAAAATTTCGCATCCCATTAGACATTCCGTTACACTTTCAACGTTTGAGTGCTCCAGGTCAACTAGCGGAAGAAGCGAATCTACGCCTAAACCACTTGGGTAAAACAGGCACCACACAAAAGGGTCGGTATCGGACACAGATAGACCGTTTGCACATGCGAGAGACATGCACAGAGGCACTGACAACCAGTAGGCCACATCATCAAGCTGAACATTAAAACTTCTTGCTTTAGCCTTGGAAGGGTAACAATAATAATGATAATACATTTCGAAATATTGCCTACGTGTCTGTTGACTTGGCGCTGTATTTAGGAAAATTTGGTTTTCTTGAAGTAGTTCAAATAGGTGGGATGCCGATTTCACGACCCCTGATTCTAGAACAGCGTTCGCGGAAGAGAAAAAAAACGAAAGGCCTCCGAAGCTTCCTATGATGCAGTTCTTGACTCAAGATGTGGATGATAAATGTGAAGAATCATTTCACCCGACGGTAAGACGGAGGGGGTGTCATATGTTTCCGTTGGCTTCTTTTGAACGATGGTGACTTTCAAGAATCTCCGTACGGAACCTATCAGCAGCGTGAAGCCATTACCCTAGTAGTCATGTGCATCAATAAATAAATATTTTACTCCCAGGTTAAGAAGTTAACATGCGAGAAGCCAGTTTACGAACATCATCAAGCTGGTAATTGCAGAGAACCCCAAATGATTTCAGCAGTGTTGAATGGTACAGAAGGAGAACATTAAACTCTGTCATGATATTAAGTGTCTATAAGTTATGGAAAGAGTAAGAAAATATCGCTTTACAGTACATACACATCGTTCCTGGTCTACATCAGTCCTACCGTAAATGCTACCACATACGAAACCCCAAGCACAACAATTGGTCTCAGATTTCTGGTCCGTGTCAAAAGCAGCGGAAATTTGGATAAACAATCAAACTCGACAGATCACTTTACCTAACGGAAACACATCCATAATAATGCTATGTAACAGATTTCTCTAGTACTTTGTCTTGTATCAATCCACCTAATAGAAGTCAATTAACAGCCAATGTATCTCCTTGACAATGTTGCATACTTTGGTGGGAATTCATAGACTTAAGTCTATGAAGTTTTACACATGCGTAATATTCACCACTGTTGAACGACGATTCTTCCATCCTTTAATTACTTGCACCACAACAAATGTTTTGAGTACTACCAATCTGAATTGCTGAAAAAGGCAACATTTTAAGAATGAGAAATTTCTCACTCAGGTGTTAACGCCCTATCTTAGACATTCGCCTGGATTCAATGATTGTATGGATACTTACTTACTCCTGAAATCACTGAAGCAAGTTATTGTTGGTCAATAAATCCACGAACATAAGAATTGCTGTTGAAATAGACGTTTATCTGACAAAACACTTGGTCTTGTAGATGGGTCAGTCATGTCGACTACTCACAACGCAAACACCAAATATTGCTCCGTTTGATGTGAAGAAATAATTGTGAGCAGAAACGACCCAAACTCAG